CTGGCTCTCGTCCGTGGTCATTTATGACATCAGCGGATAAGATCTTGCCGGCGTGCGTTACCTTCTTGTCCGTCCTTTTACATCGCCGTCCAAGGTGTGTTTGGCGATGCGTTTACGGACCGAGTCGGAGTTCTTCTCTAGGCGCGAGCCCTTGGTGGCGATGGTCGAGATTGTTCAGCCACAGCAGGTGCAGAGCGTGCATTCATGATCCGGCAGTTATGCGGGGCATGTCCTAGGTAGACTGCAGCATAAGGGTGCGATGCAAGTAAGTGTGCATGGTGGTGGTGGTTTGTTTGTAGGTGTCCGTAACTGTGGGGTACCGTATGAAAGGGCCCTTCACTGGTGGGGAGAGAGCTCATTCATGAGGGCGCAGTTCATATGACCATGGAATTAGCGCTGCGTGAACTCGTATTCAGCATGGGGTTAGGCCGTGCCAAGCTCTACTAGCTAGCTAAGCGAGGTTAACTAAACATTATGCCGTAAGATTTTGCAACGCGTTCTAAACCTATTCTAAATATATTCTATACTAGTGACACTATAAGCCGCTACTACTATGCCTGTTACTAACGCATCCCTCTTATCCTACGTAAGTAGATTAAAACGTGTTTAGAACGTGTTCTTAATAGGTTATAGAAGCACTATTAATAGTACCTTGCCCTTAGCCGCGTCCTAGATAATATTAGGGCATAGCCTGTGGTTAGCCCTAATAGGGTAGTTAAGATAGAGAGTAGAGAGCGCTACTACTATACTAAGATTAATAACAAGGGCATCTTATATAGAGTAAGAATAGGTTCTAAACGTGTTCTAAATAGGTTCTAATATTCTTAGGCTATTCTAGGTACTAGGGGCACTCTATGTACCTATACTAAAAAAGATTATAGGCTTAATATAGCCTACTATAAGGTTAGTAGGGTTAAGAAGACTAGCTAGCCCTCTATAATAGAGGTCTGTAAGGCAAAGAGTAAATATATTGTTAACCTATTCTTAACTTATTATACTAATATATATAGACTTCTATATAAAGGTTATACGTAATTACTAGAATGCTCCTTGCTATAAGTTATTTAGAATATATTTAAAACTTGTTGCTAACGTATTTTATAGAAGTTCTCTAAGCCTAGCTAGTAGCTACTATAGGCCCCCCTGTAAATGCTAATACCCTCCTAAATGTAATTTAGAAGAAGACTCGCAGTAGCTACAATAGTAATAAGGTATAGCCTGTAAGAACCTGTTAAAAATATATTACTAACTTATTATAGCTTAACTTTGTTACTATATCTACCCTACTAAGAATTTAAGGTTATTAGGTTCCTTGTGCTATCTACGCTTATAATTATCCTAGCTATAGTAAGTTGTTTACAATATGTTGTTAACCTATTCCTAATATGTTTTAAGACTATTACTTTAATGCTAGTGTAGACCTTGCTAATTCCTGCTAGAATGCTGCCTAGTTCCACTTGCAGTATACTTTTATAGAGCCTAGGGAGGATAGAGAAGATACTAGAGAGGGGGAGGGAGATAATAATAGCAACAAGTAGGAACACGTTAAGAACATGTTAAGAATAGGTTCTAATAAATAATATATAATAGCATATAACCTAAAGGGGTAGTAGTAATTACTAAAATAAACTCTCTACTCTTCTCTTTTTTTTTCTATCTACTAAAAGTAAAGTACTATTTACTTTTATAGGGTCCTTTAATAGTATATAACTTTTTCTTTTAACTTTTATAGGTATTGCAAAGCTCTAGTAGTCCCTTAGATTAAAGAAGAATCTAGTATTTATAGGTGTCTAGCTATAACGTATTATTAATATGTTCTAAATGTGTTTTAAGAGACTAGACTTATATCTCCTTTTTGCTACTTTTGCTAAATATTATTTACAGTGTAAAGGGGAGCAACTATTTGCTCCTCTTCTTTACTCTCTGCTTCCTCTTTAGCCTCTACTCTAGCTACCACTTCTTATTATAGACTAGCTATCTTAGAGGGTTCTTAAACCTTAGAGGAGGTACTTAGTGCAGTCTGCTCTACTAGCAGAGAACGTATTATTAATATATTTAGAACACGTTCTTAAGCATTTACTATTAAGCTCCTATAGAAGATCCTTGCTTCTATAGTGCCTTGTATTGTGGTTCTGCCATAGTTTACTAGGGCTATTTAAACCTTAGGATAATACCTCTTAAGGTAGTAGATAAGATTGCCTCTATTAGAGAAGTAACGCTAAAATGGTTGTTAATATATTATAAACGTGTTCTAACTTGCATGTATATATACTCTACAAAGTTCCTATACCCCTAATCTAGCCTAAATAGCCTAGTAGAAAAGCTCGCTAGGAAATACTATACACCTATTATTTAGGTAGGATATTACAGGAGAGAATGCCCTAGTATTAGATAGAAGTGACTTAAGCTTAATATATCGCTAGTATAAATCCTACTTAGTGTTAGAACAAGTTTACAATGTGTTCCTAACGCGTTCTATTATATACTAACTTTAAAAGATCTTTGTGGACTATATTAACTAGTTATATCTAATAATATTAGGAAAGATAGATAGTAAAATAGTATTAAACTCTTAAATATAAAAAGTTCTTGTAGAGTGTAAGAAGAAAGAAGAAGAAAGAGAAGAAGAAAGAATATATATTTATCTGCTTATATATACTTACGTAATAGACTAGAACATGTTAAGAACTAGTTAGAAACTAGTTACTATATTTATAGACTAACCCTACCTTGCATAAAAAGTAGCTATCTCTTTCTTAAGTTTAAACTATGCCTTTTATAATTTAAATAGTGCCTTTTTCTGTGCAAGTTCTTCCTTATCTACCTCTAGCTTTTCTTTTCTCTCCTTTAGAGCCTAATTACTAAGAAGAGCCTTTTATTACAAAGTTTATAGTTACAGACTAATAATAAGTTAGAAACGTGTTATAAACGTGTTTCGCAAAGCATACCTTTAGGTTACTATTAGTAGAGGAGAAGAGCCTAGTAGTAGAGAAGATAGAAAAGGGGCTAGTAAACTTCTTTCTAATACTGCTCTACTACTTGCCCTCTAGCTTTAGGCTTTTAAGCGTGCTCTTTTATTTCTTATTAGGACTAAGATATATCTAGTTAAGTTAGATATAGCAAGACTTGCTTTATTATTATCTAGAGTGTTATTATTATTATAGGACGCGTTCTAAACACATTCTAAACATATTTTAATTAGTAAATGTGTATAACACTAGCGTAAGACTTACTTTCTCCCCTCTAAAGCTTTTTAAGGTACCTTTGCTTAAGCCTATTAGGAGTTCTATAGTTATAGCGTATTCTAAACTTGCTCTAGGCTTTAAACTCTTTTATATCCTGTAGATCTATCTAGTGTGCACTACACGATGTTACTTATATAATTCTAATAGGTTAAGAATAGGTTATAAACTTACTTCTAAGTGGCCTTAAGAATACTTACATGCTTACTAGTTTTATATCCTTTCTAGCCTGCTTGCTTAGCTGCATTTAAATAAGATTCTAGTTTTTCCTATACCTCTTTTAATATTTTACTATAGCATTGCACAATCCTAGCAGTAATTACTAGGTTTTTCTTATAGATTGCCTAGTTTTAGGCATCTTTAGAGGGTTCGTGTTCTAATTATATAAGAATAAGTTAGGAACACGTTTAGAACAGGTTTAGAATATATTTACTTACGTGAGAGGAGGTTAGTAAGCTAAAAGTATTCCTCTGCTGTTAATGCCTGTAGTAATTCACTTAGACGTAAAGAGGTAGTATTATCTAGCTCTCTTTTATATGCTTTGTGAATACTTCTTTATAGATATACTTAACAAAATCTTATACAAGATTAAAGTTGCTAGCGCTAGTCACGCTTGTAGGGATTAATTAACTAGAGATAGCGCCTAAGTCCTAGAAACAAGTTAGAAACACGTTATAAACATGTTATAGTGCGCTATAAAACTTGCCTGTTATCTGCTTGTTACACATGTTAATAGTAGTCCTATAGAATCCCTGTAAGTGAATATACCTCTATAACACTTGTCTTTTTGTAAGTGCTTTACACTTCTAAAAGAAGTTAGTAATAGCAACTTAATATATCTTAGTTATATCCTTATCTATAATAATTTAGCTAAGTATAATAACTGCAACGTGTTAGAAACGTGTTACAAACCTGTTCTTAATGCGTACGCTTCTTTTCCTATAGGTGGAAGATTACTATTAGAATCTCTGCCTATGCCTTATATAACCTCTTATATAATATATCTATCTAGAACGTGTCTTAATCTAATAGAATTAATGCCTACTCTTTAAAAAGGCAAATAATTAAGTTACCTAAGCTTAATATAAAGATTTGCTATATATACGCCTGTAGTAACGTGTTAATAACGTGTTCTAAACCTGTTCTCTTACACCACGTATAGTTTTAGGATCCTAATACTTTATCCTCTACTTATAGTGTACTCCTCTAAGGCTACTCTTAAATAGGAACTGTAGAAGCTTTTCACGCTTTATAATACGCGAGATTTTATCTTTATTTATAAAGCTAATATATATTTCTTTAATAGAATAGAAACCTTTAAGTTAGAGATAGGTTTAGAGCTAGGTTAAGTTTAGGAACTAGGCTATAATAAGTTAGGAATATGTTTATAACAGGTTACAAATAACTTACATTACGTAAGCTATAGAGTAAGCATAGGCTGCAACACCTTTACTACTTCCTTAATATTACTATTAGATAGTGTTAAGGGAGGAGGAGGTATATATGTATGTATACTAAAAGAAATAATAGTAAAAAAAGGTATTGCTACTATATCTATTAGTATAATTACTTAGAAGGTAACTTTATATAGGATTTTAAATAGAGATCCTTGCTCTTGTGGATAATTAACGCCTAGAATATGTTAGGAACGTGTTAGGAATAGGTTGTAATATGCCTACCACACTTCTTTATCTAGCTTAACTGTGGCTTAACTATAGAATATAAAGTAGGACTACTAGAAAGATTTAATATCTCCCTAGTTAGAAGACCTTGTAGATATGTAGAGTCTACCTCTAGTGGTACCTAACTAAAATAATGTTTTTTCCTAGTAGTAGTATATTAGGCTGTAGTTCTAATAGCTAATATATAGTTAAGCCTATTCTATAATTTGCTAACTTATTATTAACACGTTTTAAACATGTTTAAGTTTCGCTCCCTACCTAATTTACTGTAGTCCTTATTACAGGATAATAAGACACCTAGTAGTCCTTACAAATCCTTAAAGAGAAGCGCTTAATAAGGCTATAATAATAGCTTCTTATTTGTAGTTCTCTTTGTGGAATTTTCTTAGGTACTACACTTTTTAAGGTTTAGATCTAATTGTATAATGCGTTATTAACAACGTGATAAGAACACGTTTATAACGTGTTCTTAAGATACTTACACACTTTTACCCTAGAGTATTAGTATTTATACTAGCTTGCTAGCTAGCTGTTAAAGAATAGTAAAGTTGTAGGCCTATTAAGATAGATAGACTAGCAGGAGTATTATACCTGCTAGAATTAGAATAATTTAAGAACGTGTTCTTAACGTGTTACCTGTGTAGCCTGTATAAGCACCTCTTCTCTTGTTAGGTAAGAGCTATCTTTATATTGCTAAACTAGTATTATATACCTATACCCTTAGCTATGTAATTAAGGGTATACTAGGAGAATAGCTATATGCTTAATAATTGCTAGTGTAAGTAGTAGTCCTTAACTATTACTATAAGTAAGGTATATATTGTACCCCTGTAACGTGTTACTAACCTATTCTAAACTTGTTCTATTTACTTTTACTTACTTCCTTAACGCTACTACTACTATCCTCCTCTAGCACTTTATACGGTTGCCTAAATTTATCTCTAATATTACTATCTAGTTTAGATATGTTGTCTAGTACTGCTGTACTAAACTCTAGTATAGTATTTAGGAACGCCTGTATATTATTAAGAACAGGTTTAGAATATGTTTAAAAAAGATAGTAATAAAAACTGCGTTTACTTGCTTAAATTACCCTAATTTATACTTGACCATAGGCTAGTTTATATAACCATGAAAATTTGCCGCTGTGACGTGGACTTGAACCTACAGGGATATTCTAACCACTCGGAGTAAAGCCCAAGTCGCCCGACGCTAAACCCATGGTCATATGACATGCCACCACCTCATTCATGTTCCTGTTCACGCAGACACGCGTTGACGTGTTTGGCCGGAGATGGAGCGTGACAAGGACTAAGCTTCTAACGCTCTTGAAGCGGGCCTTGTGGCTTGCCGGCCGGTTGTTCTGCCGAGCGGTGAGCCAGCCGCTAGAGAAGAACGCCAACTTTTTTCGACCCATTGGTCTTTCGAACCTTTCGTCTGCTGTTCAACTTCTTTTCTTCCACAACCACCCACTTTTCTTCCTCTCTCAATCACCGTGCCCGAGCATAGACTTGCACAGAATAGTCGCCTTTGGAAGTCTAGCTACCCTATATACAGGAATCCCTCCAACAATCCCCACACAACCTCAAGATGGTCTCTGTTCCTGCAGGCGTCTATGGACGCCGGATACCTGCAGGCGGTATCCCCATTCTCGCAGCTATCGACCCTTCTGCTGCTGTAAGTCTCTGCTGTCGCATAAGCTGGCTCTATGGTCTTATGGCTCCGGTCGTCGGGTTCCTGCTACAACCCTTTTTCCTTCACCTATATCCAGACATTCATGCGCACTGCTATCTCTGGCGCATCAGCTACTGACCATGCCTGCCTAGTTCCGCATCACCATGGCTGCTATTGACCCTACCGCCGCGGCTCAGATTGACGAGGAGAACCAAACTCTTCGCGCCACTCTGAAGCTCATCCGTGTTCCCATGGACTTCGACGAGGAGTATGAGGACGATGAGGACATGGACATTGACGACAGCGACATTGAGGCTATCGCTGCTCGTCTGCGCGCAGCTGGCGCACTTCCTGAAGCCGACTCAGACATGTCTGATGACAGCGAAAGCGAGGCCAACGGCGCCGGCCCAAGTGACCCGGTCAAGTCGAAGAAGGCCAAGCAGGCTGCCATCAAGAAGAAGCTACAGGAGGAGCTTGATGACCAAATGGACCTTGACGCCAAGAAGCCAAATGGAGTCAATGGCAAGGGTAAAGCCAAGGTTACAGACGAGGACATCAGCGACGAGGACGATTCCGAAGATGACGAGGACGACGAGCCTGAAGAATTTGTCTTGTGCACCCTCAACCCCGATAGCGTAAGTCTTCTACAGGCGCTTTCCAGCAGAATAACTTGAAGTAACCTTCCTCTAGCACTACCAACAGCCGCTCGACATTACCATCCGTGAGGGTGAGGAGGTCTACCTCTCCGTCTCTGGAACCCACGACGTTTACGTCACTGGTAACTACATTGCCTTCCAAGATGAGGAAGACGACAGTGAGGATGATGAGGATGACGGCCTAGAGCAGCTTGGATACGATATTGGCTCTGACGAGGATGAGCTGGATGTTGACGAGCTCGATGAGTCTGAAGAGGACGAGCTCGACGGTCTTGAAGACCCAAGAATCACCGAGGTTGAATCCGAGGATGAGGCTCCCAAGCTTGTCGACGCCGGCAAGAAGAACAAGAAGCGCGCTGCCGAGTCCGAGGACGATGCCACTCTTGATGACTTGATGAGCAAGGCCAACGGCGATGCGAAGCTCAGCAAGAAGGCCGCCAAAAAGTTGAAGAAGAACGATGGTCAAGCTGTCGCCGGCGCTGAGCCCGTGAAAGCGGACAAGAACGAGGCGCCCAACAGCGACAAGAAGAAGGTTCAGTTCGCCAAGAACCTTGAACAGGGCCCGACTGGCTCGCCCAAGGTGGATGCGCCCAAGCCAGAGGCCAAGAAGGAGGCTACCAAGGGCCCTCGCGTCGTCAGTGGTGTTACCATCGAAGATAAGAAGGAGGGCAAGGGCAAGGCTGCAAAGAAGGGTGATCGTGTCGAGATGCGCTACATTGGCAAACTGAAGAACGGAAAGGTGTTTGACTGTAAGTTCTGACCTATCTATCCCAAACAATGTCCTATGCTAACGATGACACAGCCAATAAGAAGGGCAAGCCTTTCTCGTTCAAGCTCGGTGTCGGTCAAGTCATCAAGGGCTGGGACGTCGGCGTTGCTGGTATGACACCCGGAGCAGAGCGTCGTCTCACCATTCCCGCTGCGCTCGCCTATGGCAAGAAGGGTGCGCCCCCGGATATTCCTCCAAACTCTGACTTGATCTTCGACATCAAGTGTATTTCCGTTGGTTAGAGAGGCCATGCCTGGTATCTGTCCTATGGGACAGACCCTGGCCCCTCGGCTCCCGTACATGCTGGCATCCGTCTCCACTGGTGCAGCGTGTATGGACAGTGAACCTAATGGTCGCGCTAGTTTTCGTCCGTTGTCCGTCTGTTTTGTTGCTGCATAAAGAGGTGTACGAGATATCCGACTTGCGTTCTCTGAGGCTTCACTTTAGATTTGTGCAAGGAGGAGGGATCTCTCTTATGCGTTGCTCTGTATGTACAGCCATGTGTTTACAATGTAGCGAGGCGATGTAGTCAAGAAAAGACAGGTACTCGCTGAGGAAGCTATTTGAAAAGTTTACGGAGTCAAGGCAAGGTTTCTTTCTTTTTTTTCTTTTAAGACTATGTAGTAGCAATGCATGTGTACTTTTGATATGCTGTACTCACTGTGTAGAATGAGAAAACATTAGCCAGACATGGGAAACTTGGAGCCGCGAATCAAATGTCGTGAAAGGATTGCGGCGGAGTTGTCTCCTCTTTGCTGACGTTTGCCGAGGCGGGTGGGCGCGCTTGCAGAATGTTCTCGCGCTAGTGGATGGTCCGTGCGTGTCTTCTCCGCTTCAGGCTGGCGTAGTCATATAACTCCACTCCAACTCCTCACGGCCTGCGCCTCTCCAACGTCTATCCATCAAACGTTTGTCAGCTCAGGACCCCCTCGCCCCCCAAGTCAACAACACAACGCCCACCAAGCCCTCTTTGCTTCTAACTTCCCGTCTACTTAGACATATCCTCTCTCGATATCCGACGCAAGATAGCATCACGCAATCCGCCGGAAGTGAAATCTCCGACGGTTCGTCTTCGACTCAACATCAACAACAACAACAGCCCTACTCAAGGACAACACAACGGCGCAGTTGTAGCTATGGCGTTAAGAACCAGTAGTAGTCTTAGTAGTAGTAATAGTAGCATCCACTCCAATGCTTCTTCCCGCGCAAACATTCGCGCCAGCTGCTATGCCGTAAACGCGTCGACTGCGAGCCTTCAGGGCTTCCACTACTCCACTACGGGGGTTGCCGGGGCCGAGTGGTGTTCCTGAGGTCAGCTCGGTATGTACTTTGAAACTACGACATACAACGCTGCGACGCACTTCTAACCTGCACCAGGGAATACCATCACCCCCTTCAAGTCCGCCCCTCGCCGCCAGACACTCATCCATCATCAAGGGTGGGTTGGCGCGCAGGGGGGCGGCTGCATACACTATTACGGAAGAGTGTGAGAGACTTTTCTGCGAGACACTACGGTCTGTTTTCCTGGGTGAGGGGAACCAGTGCCGCCAGGACTCGCTTGTAATGGGTATGCATAATAGCATCATGCCAATATACGACAACGACTACGGCGTCGCCGTTCGCCGATATTCCAACGCCAGCTCCGAGTGCTCCATGGTCTCCTCCTCTCTCGAGGCGGAAGAAAAGGGGTATTTTAAGAGCAAGGGTGCCATCACAAATTGGATTGAGATGTGGGATTACGTGGGTGGAATTCGCTTCCGTGGTTTCGTGGCGGACAAGAATGGTGAAAAGGCCATGTTTGTGTTCTTTGATCAGTCTGTCATCATGGGAGACTTGAAGGCTGGGTAAGCATGCGCTTGTAAAACGTCGTTTCACATCAATCACTAAACCTGACACAGGCTCACGGCCCTCCTCGAACTTTGCGAAGTCGACTATTTCTCCTGCAGCCGCCTCGTTGTCTGTATCGACCGTCACACTGAGCCGACGGCTAGGAATACCTTAACAAAGGATCTTGGCTGGATCGGTTTCAGCCTGAATACTCTGAACGAGTTTGCAGACGGCGGTGAGCTGTTGAGTGACAAGTGGCTGTTCATGGACATGGAGACTTGATTGTCAGCCATCGCCTTGCTTAGGATGTCGAAGTGCTAGACGGCACTTGACACATACATCAGTGTCTTTGATTCGTATAGTGCATACTGTGCACAAGGTCTTTACTAGCTTGCTTGGAAATTGTTCGGCGCTTGGGATATCTTGTTTTTCTTGCACACTAGTTACTTGCCAATCAATATATCTACTTCCTTTTCTTCTCCTTCCTGTTTCGATGGCTTGCAAATCAAGTATAATGCTGACTCGCTTGGTTTGCCTATCTAAATGTGACTGTGATAATGGTAGTGGTGATGGCGGTGGTATTGCCACTGTCTCAGTACACTGTATGAGTGTACTCTAGTGTCTTGTCTGACCGGTCTTGTCAGGGAACCCTTAAGGACGTCGGGCCACAAATTGTTAGAGGTGGTATACACATTTATAAAGAGGACTGACTAAAAGATGAGAAGAAAGAAGTAAGATAGCATACACAATCCTTCCCTCTCTCAAAAGCACTGTATATATTCCTGCCAATCTACTCGCTCAATGATACATCTGCTCAACCACACCCAACAACCCTAGCGTCCCTTTTCCATTTACGCCAAATTCTAGTTCATTCACGCCAAATCCGCCATCGCAGCATCCAAATCCGCCCCGCCAAACTCATCATCCACCTCCATCCTCTCCACCTCCGCCCGCCCCTCCGCCTTCCTCATATCCGGATTCTCAGTGCCCGCAATTCCATGCAACGCCATCTTCCTCTGATGAGCCTCGAGATCCTCCAGACTCCAACTCGAGTGGCCCTCCTGCTCCGCCCGACTCCACGGCACACTCATATCGCGGAGAAAGGCCTTTGCGGTGCTGACGGCCTGGTCGATGGAGAGTTTTGTCGACTTTGCGTCGAGGCCGTGTTGGATCCATTTGGGGAGTTGAGATTGTTTCTTGTTGAAGCGTTTGTCTGCGAGGACCATGATGCCATAGTCGTCTTTGCCGCGGATGACGCGGCCGAGACACTGTGCTGCATGACGCATGGCGTCAAAGGAAAGAAAGTCTGCTTCCTTGATGCGATAGGTTTCTCGCAGGAACTCGAGGCGGGCCTTGAGGATGCGCGACTCGGTGTATTGGTATGGGACGCCCATGCAGAGCACGGTGCGGCCGTAGTGGTGGTCGAAATCGATGCCCTCGGAGACTTTGCCGCGGGCGACGCAGAGGAGGACGGCGCCGCGGCCGTTGTTGCAGGCTGTGCGGAAGGTTTCGAGCGCGAGTGCGGTTTCCTGGGCGTCGGGGGTTTCGACGAGGATGAGTTTGTATTTCCAGACTGTGTCGAGGATCTCCATGCCCTGCCATGCGCTGATGATGCTTTCCATGTAGAGGTAGGAGGGGAAGAAGACGACAACGCCGTCTGGGGTCAGTTTGCAAAATTCAATGAGGAGGTTGCCAAAGTTGCGCTGGACTTGCAAGTCGTTGCGGTGTTCGAATTGGGAAGTGATTTGGTTCTGGTCATTGCCGCGGTCGACTATCATAGGGAGGAAGGATTTGCGGGTTAGGGTCATGGTGAAGGATTCTTGGACCACGGTGTTGAAGTTGAGCATGCGGGGGTACATGTCCAGGGGTGACATGGTTCCTGAGGTGACAATTACCGAGTAGAAGCGCTCAAAGACGGGCTTGATGGCGATGGCAGCGTCGAGGCAGGTGAGATGAAGTATTGGATTTGGTACTGTTGCTGTTGCTGATTCAAACGGTTCGATAATTATTAGGAAGCCTGTCTCGTAGGTCGCGACCAGTGTGGCGAATGTGGCGACTTCTTGTAGCGGTTGGTAGTCTTCGATACTGGTAAGCTCAAGCGTGCGTACGAGTGATGTTAGTCGCTCAGCACAGAAACGTAGAGGCTTGCGCTCGATATAGGTCAGGTCCCGGAGATGGCTTAAGAATGCTGGTGGTGTGTCCGAGACAACGTTTAAAACCTTCATTCGGGTCTTGAGGTATTCAATAAATCGTTTGAGAAAGGCGACAAAATGCTCTGCTCTCCGTATGTTGCCGGGAACAGCCTCTGTGAGTAAATCGTCTGGTAGGACGGGATTGGCCATGAAGGCTTCCTCGCTTCGCGCTTCATCGGCTGATCTCAGACCATCGACGAGCTTTGCGTATTCATTCTGCAGCTTCTCGGCATCTGTTGACTTCATCTCGGTGATCTTTCGGTCCAGGTTGTTGACTCCCTTTGTCGCTTTTCGTAGTACGTCCTCTGTTAAATCGATACTGAGCGATTCGATGCATACGTTATCGATGTTGTGAGCCTCGTCAAAAACCACGATGCAGTCTTTTGAGAGTTCTTTTGAGACCCTGTCTGCAATCTTTGGGTCTAGGAGATAATGGTACGAGTAGATGATGACATTGCAGTAAGGCATCATCCGCCGCGCTGTGAAATACGGGCACTGTTTCTGTTGTTCGCCGTATTTGAGCATACCGTCAAAAGTCCAAACACCGGGCGGAATGAGATTATGGGGCTCCAAAAGGTCCAGGTTGTCGTGGTACACGCAGAGCTCGACATCCTCCCCTCGCTCCTTCTTTTCCTTGACGAAACCAGCGGTCAAGCTTCTACATCGGGCGTCTACAATGCTGCCACTCTTCTCTCTCTTTACAGATGGATGGAGGCACAGGTTCTTTCGACTGGTTAGTCCCAAACCACGGAATTCTTCCTCATAGCCCAGCTCTTGCGTTCGGTACTTCATCAACGCCTTCAATTCTGCAAGGGCCTTTTCAATCTCAGACATGGTACGCGAGCAGTAAATCAGCTTCCGCTTTTCAGGATAATGCTGCTGGTACGCGACAATGAGCGAGAGCAGCGACACAGTTTTACCCGTGCCCGAAGGCATCTCGAGGACACAGTGACCGCCCTGGTCCAGCGTGCGCTTGAGATCACACATGTAGGCATACTGCTCGGGATAGACTCTGGGATACGGAAACAGCACGGGGAGAGTGTCGATGAAGAACTTCATCTTGACTGGTCCAGCGCCCGCGCGGAGCAATTGTCGTGGCGCAACGGAGAAGTTGTCGTAGACAAAGCCAAGGTTGTTGCCTCCGGACGAACGTGACATGTAGTGATTGATTAAATGGGACGCCCAGGCATCGATGTCAGTGCACGCGACGGGATGCGCGCTAAGAGCCAGATAGAGCCTGGCGGGGGTGACAGGGGTAGGCCCCACCACCGTGTTTCCCGCCCTTTTGGTGCCGTCATCGTCAAGCAGAGCCGCAGCGAGAAGCCAATTCATTCGCGCCCACACAAACTTCTTTCTATGCACACTATTGACAATCATCATCATCATCATCATCATCATCATCACCACCAGGCAACCTATCTCTCTCACCCTTGACCTCACCTTCACCTCCACCTCCACCTTCACTCTCGCTTTCGGCCACTGCAGCGCATGGAGTCAGCCCGCTTTCACCCCAATTCCCCTCTTCCTTCTCCTGCCACCACACAATTCTCTTACCCCGCCCCCCCGCATACTCACTTATCACAACCATGAGCAAGCGCACAACGAAAGCGCACGCCAGTAGCGCTCGGGCTGCCTCGACCTTTGCATCTTCCACCTTTGGATCTGTTCCAGCATTTGGCGCCAGCTCCTCAGCGCTCTCGTATGTGTCGGAGCCCCCAGACCTCTCCGCCGTCTCCGACCCCAATGTCGTAGTCTACTTTAGAAACTTGTCAAAGAAGGACAGTACAACCAAGGCAAAGGCCTTGGAGGACATACAGGCATATGTTGCGTCGCTGCAAGAGCCTGTAGAGGAAGGCGTATTGGAAGCATGGGTGTGTCCTACCGACATGTACATACAAGGAGCCGATAGTAATGAATTATTCGCAGATCAAAACATATCCCCGCACCTCAATAGACAATGCAAAAGCTGTCCGCCAAAATGCTCACCTCGTGCACGGACAAATGGCACTCTCCGCAGGCAAGCGAATAGCAAAGCACATGCCCAAGAGCGTTGCCGCATGGCTCAGCGGCCTCTACGACAGTGATCGATCCGTGGTTGAAGCCACCCAGACTTCCATACGCCAAGTCTTCAACACACCTGAGAAGATCCAAAACATTCGCAAGGCATACCAGCAACCAATATTGGAATACTGCAAAGACGCAATCGACAAGGAGAGCACCACAACCCTAAGCGATGAGCGGACAGTTAGCAAAGACGACGCCGAGACCAAATACAGTAGGGTCATATCTGCGTGTATAGCGCTGTTGGGGAGTCTCTTGGCCAATCTGCAACCAGAAGAGCTCTCCAAGTACCAGGCCGACTACGACAGTCTGCTTGGCGACAAGAAGCTCTGGGAATTTGTGTCGCATGATGACGCCTCAATACGGCGCTCATTACATCGCTTTCTCAAAACCTGTCTCGCCAAACAATCCGGTATGTCGCTTCTCTAGTGCTGTGGGATAGTAGCGCTCATTCGCAATAGCTGCCATTGAAGCCAATCTGGACGCGATCAGCAAATCTTACCTCTCCGTTGGTCTGAACTCTGATCAAATGAGCTCAATCTATGACTACATCGAGGCTCTGACGCTGTTAACGTCTACACATCCTTCCGTCTGGACTAATCACTATAAAAGCAAGACTTCCGTCGACAGACGCCTACGGCAGTTTCTAAAGAAGGGGTCTCAGCTTGGGCCCAGGGAATTCTGGGTACTTTTGAAACAGCTTTTGGCCGTCCTACCAACAGAAGTCTTACCAAGCAATGCTGCTGATGCCGCTGAGCTGCTCAGCTCACTTCAAGCTGGTATCGTACGACGGGACGAGTCCAAATATAACCACGACGCAGCATTCGACACATCCATAGAAGCTGTTATGCTTATCAGTCAGCGTTTGCCGGAAAGTGATATACGCAAACTTCTCGAAGAAAGGGTGGTGCCGCTCATGAATCATTACTTATGTCCATCAGCCGAAACTTCGCAATGGAGCATACCCGCCCATACCGCCACTAAACTACTCCCGAAGGTCTTGCGAATACCTGGTATGATCACGATACTCACCGACCGCTGGCCACAATTCGCACAGCAACTCATCGACGACATCAGGACATCTGCTCCGGAACAATCAAAGGACTACGACAAGTCACAGAATGCCGTTGTACAGCATGCTAATCGGTTTGCTGCTCTACAGGAACACGTCTTGAAGTTGGATCTTCCTGAGACTTTGCAGGGTATTGTTGTGGAAAGATATTCTGCTATAATTTTAGAGGCCCTCAATGTTCTTCAGAATCGAAACGGTAAGCCCTACGGGGCCGCTGGCACGATTGCAGCTCTTTTACGAAGCAACCGCGAACTGATTTCATCCGGTCAGACAGAGCAAGAGCTAGAGAATTTCGTGCAAGCAAATATTGCAACTTTGATACTCTCACCATCGGGGGCTTATGTCGTTGATATTCTTTACTCCTTGACTGAGTCCGTGGTGTTTGAGTCAGCATGGAGTGCTGCACTCAAGGCTGTATTGCAAGAAGGCGACTCCCCTACCAGGACCAAAGCTCTTGAAGCACTTCTGACATCCTCAAGAATCCCAACCAATCTTGATATGGCAGCAGCTGATAATGAGCTTCAGAGCTATGTCAAGTCTAGCGTGCGCAATGCTGTCGAGGGCTCAGCCGAGTGGGACTCTTTCAACAGCATGCTCCAATCACAGGCCAAAATTCTTTCTCCAGAAACTACCGAAGATGTTCTTGCTTATTTGACACAATCTTTATCAATAGCTCAGCATGCGCCGTTTTCCCTACAAGGCCTTCGCCAAATCGTCAAATCGAACCCTTCCTTACTAAGGGAATTCCTGGGTCGACCACAGGGCTCAGCTCTATTACAGGGCTTGCTTCGAGCTTCTGAGTCTCCTAGTGATGAAATTTCGCAGGGTGCTACTGCAATCAATGCGTCGATACAAACCATTCTGGCAGCTGGATCGGACAGCAAGCAATCGATATATGATTTAATCCACAGAGGCCTGAGCGAGGCAAGCCAGACATCAGTCTCAATAGAGACACTTGTATCTCTCGCGAAGCAATCTGCAATGCGGGGAAGCCAATGGGACGACATGTCAAAATTCTTCCCGACTCTAGACGACTGGAGTTCGGCTCTCAAGCCCTTCCTCTGTGTCATACCCAAGTCATCTCTAGCCATCACAAGCCCGCTTGGCGGCGCGGTGTATCTTGTGGAATCAGGGACTCCCACATCCGAAATCAAAACGATATCACGAGATGCCGACGGCTATACTCCCGCGTATCGCATAGCACAATATGTCATCAGCTTGCTCACGCAACCAGATTATTTTCCCATTGGAACCGTTCCTGAGAAGATACGGGCGGCGTACATTCACAATATCGCTACCACCGTACAGCTTGCAGATGACAATCTTGGGCTTGCAGGCGCCAATGGTCTCTGGGCAGAGTACAACCGAGATGTAGAGGCAGATGCGATCGCTTTCGTGTCTCGCGCAAAGGAGCTCGTGACACAGCAGCTCAAGGAACTGGCTGTTACCTGGGACGAAGGCGACTCGGAGTCCACTTTGCTGTTCTGGGCTATTAAGCTTTTGTCTAGAGATAAGCCGGATACGCCAGCTGAAGCCTACTATGATGCCCGAGTATACAGCCATCTTGTCTCCACTGCCATCGAGGTCGCGGGCTGGAAAGCTGCGCTGACACCTCAACTAAAGGATATTCTAGGTAGCATCCGGAAGACAAAGGCAGTCTTCTCACTGCTCGGCTTCCTGAATGCCTTCAAAGAGCCGCTGGCAGCTTCCAAAGCTTGTGAAAGGATGTGCAGCGAAATCATAGCTGATCTGACAGGCTTGGACATAACGACCAGATCTGAAGAAGGTCTCCGCCAGCTGATCCTCTTGAACACAGTACTTGAGCAGGAAGGTATCACGGCGACCATTGCAAAGCAACGACTCGTTTTCTTCGTGAAGCACGTCATCCCGTGGCTACAGACCGACATGGTCGCGAGACCTGTGAAAGCCGAGCTGTGTCGTACGCTTGGTGTGCTTATTCCTTTCATGAGTGATATGTATGGTGATCACTGGGCCGATATTTTGAAGTCCCTCGCTTCCGCTTGGGCTGCGACGCAGAACTTTGAAGAGCATGAAACGTGGATGGATAGGTATGTTGCGCATGATTAACCCCTTACATTCTAGTTCACTGACAGATTGCAGCCCAATACCATTCGTTTATGCATCATTAAAGCTGTATGCTCAGATGAGGAAGTTGACGCAAGCTGAGGGGCCTAACGACGACCTCCTTGAGGCCTGGGCAGAATCAGAGCAGCCCATCGCCAACGGACTCATCAACCTTCTCAAACGTTCACAGCACTTCCCAGATGAGTTCCATCAGCCTTTGAAGATGGTTAATGATGTGCTAGCACGACAGATTGCGCACGTGTCGTTAGACCACTTGGAAGCTACCGAGGAACTCTATCCTCTCTTATACGTGGAGTCGCAACCTGTGCAACAAGCCGCCTTCAACATCCTGCACAAGCAGATCCCAGCTGCTCAAGAGCAAATTTCTATTGATGCAGCCCTTGAGAAGACCACAGCTCGACTACCAGAAGAGCTGTTGTCGCTCATAATGGAAGCACCAACTGTTGCAGCGTTGGCTGAAGCAGACTTTGAGCGAAGCGTACCTCTACCACTACGAGGGTACCTGCTCAGCTGGCTCCTGGTATTTGACCATCTCGAGCATGCCTCCTTCAAAGTGAAGAATGACTATGTTGAACACATCAAGGAAGGTGAATACCTCCCGGGCTTACTGGACTTTACGTTCGACTTCCTGGGCCACGCCCACAACAAGCCTGTAGACGTCTCCAAGCTCGATATCACAACCTATGAGCCGGAAATTGAGCCACCCAAGAAGGACCTACAATGGCTACTCACTCACCTCTACTTCCTCTGTCTCCGACATGTCCCCTCCCTCACCAAATCCTGGTTCATAAGCTGCAAATCCCGCGCCACAGTCGTCACTCTTGAACCCTGGACCGAGAAATTCATCTCACCCCCCGTCATTACCGCAGCCCTTGACTCCGTATCCAACTGGTCTGACTCCCAAGCCAGCGCCGAGCCCGACTCCCCGTTCTCCATCCGCGTCGCTCCCCGCGCCCGCGAAATCACCGCGTCCTATCTCGTTGACGACCAAACCATGTCGATGCGCATATCGCTTCCGCCGGCCTTCCCCCTGGCGTCCGCAAATGTCGAATCGCTCAATCGTGTTGCAGTCAATGAAACAAAGTGGCAGTCTTGGCTGCGCACTTCGTTGGGTGCGATTACCATTTTCAACGGCAGTTTAATCGATGCGCTCACGACGTTTAAGAGGAATGTAGACGGTGCGATGAAGGGGCAGAGCGAGTGTGCAATTTGTTATAGTATTGTGGGGAGCGACAGGAAGTTGCCAGATAAAAGATGTCAGACGTGCAAGAATTTGTTCCATGGGAGCTGCTTGTTCAAGTGGTTCAAGAGTAGTGGGGGGAGTGGGTGTCCGCTTTGTAGGAATCCGTTTAACTATGGGTAATTTGGGGTTGTTTGCATAAAAGGTTTGTGGTAGCATTGCAAGGTATTTGGAGTAATAGATATAGGTTGGTTGAGGGAAGATTTTGAGATGATACATTATAGTGAGAAAGATCCCCGGAGTCTTTTAAGCTCATGTATCTCAAAACTCTTTGATCTCGATTTACACAATGTCCAAGGAAACAACGACTGCCCTACCAGGCAAGATCAACAAGAAGTGTCAGTAGTACAGAGTGAACGTGGGTTTACGTGATGGGTAAGACGTTGCTGAATCATGCGCCAATGAACCTCGGCTGTGCACGGTCGTTCTCTACCCCACACTACACCACACTACCTACGAAAGTACCGAGCTACAGTACATCAGATCCACACAGATAGACACCAAACCAGACATAACTTACGACTTTTGTAGGCACATTATATCCCCAGGTCGAAATCCTCTACCAGGATTACCACTTCCAATGCCCTCTTAACCCAGCTTCTTTCCATTTTCAATTCCCCTTCCTATTCCCCTCTAACACAACCCAACCAAACCTCAATCATGGCCTCCCCAACCTTGATTTTCAATTACGACATATCCTGCCCGTACGCCTACATAGCCTCAACCCGTGTCTCCTCCCTCGCCACCCGTACAAACGCAAACCTCATCTACCGCCCCATTCTCCTAGGCGCCGTATACCGCGCCACCGCGGCCCCTCAAGGCGCTGCTGGCTCTGCTTCTGATGTCTTCAACCCCACCAAGAAAGCGGTGGGCCAGCAGTCCATGAAGCGGACTCTGAAACGGTATAATGTTGCGTATAACCCGCCGCCCCAGCATCCGCGCAAGACTGTTGATGCGTTGAGGCTTTTGTACTGTGTTGATGGGGACGAGAGGAAACTGTTAACTGAGGCGTTTTTCAAGGCGTATTGGGTTGAAGGAAGGGATGTGGCTGACCGTAACGTGCTACTCGGCATTGCAAAGGAGATTGGTATACAGTCTGCGTCGAGCCTTAGTCTCCAATCCTTTGATGATGCCGCTGCCCGAAAAGAGCTGGAGACTGCAACCGCAGAGGCGATTCAAAGGGGTGCGTTTGGCGTCCCTGGATTCTGGATCCCCGAAGCCCGCTGGGAAGATGTAAATGGACAGGAGAAGAAGGGTCGCTTCTTCTGGGGTCAAGATCGCATGCATTTCGTAGAAGCGACTTTACTTAATCTCCGCTCTGCCTCTCAGTCTTCTTCCCTGTCCCCGAAAAACTGGTCTCAATCGCCACAACTACGCTCTCTGATTCCCCGGGCCATCCCTACAAACACAACGCCCTCCCCCACACACCTAGAGTTCTGGTTCGACTTCAGTTCTCCCTGGGCATATTTGGGCTACACGCAACTTGCGCGTTTGCAGCGCACGTTTCCCTCTCTGACAATTGAGCTCAAGCCGTTTTTGCTGGGGATTTTGTTCCGCGAGATTGGCGCGCCGAATATGCCCATGTTGGCGATTAGTAAGGCGAAGGCGGCGTGGAGTCGGCAGGACCATGCGGATTGGACAGCGTGGTGGAACGCGGTGAATGAGCAGGAGAGTGCGAATAAGGATCAGAGGATCAATTTTAAATGGGCTGATAAATTCCCCATTCGTACGCCTGAGGTGTTGAGGGTGGGAATCATAGAGCCGAGGGCTGTAAGGCTGTTGTGTAAGTCTTTGCGTTTCGTCTCGTCTCACTTGAGATTATCCTGTCCACTGTGGATATTACTTACATCCATACCGGACCCAACCCCATCCTTAAGCATATACTACGAATACAGACTGGCTCGCTAATACCCACGCCCAGACGAAGCCTGCTGGTCCCACAACCTCGACGTCTCCTCTTCCGCCGTCCTCGAATCCATACTTACAACCGCCGGCTACAATGGCGCAGATCTTCTTGCCCGCGCCAATTCCCCGGCCACAAAGCAAAAACTCCGTGACCTCACCGCGGAGGCAAAGGAAAAGGGCATTTGCGGTGTACCCACATATAGAGTGCTCCGCCAAAATGCGAGTGGCAGTTGGGATCTAGCGGGCGGGTTGGTGTGGGGACAGGATGAGATTGGCGTGGTAGAGGATTTGATTGCAGGTTGGGATCTTGAGACTGGGAAGGAGCTTGCGGAGGCGAGGAAGGTAAGATATGAGGGTGGGAAGGGGCAAGCTAGGTTGTAGGTGAGGTTGGGTCGTAGACCCGTGTATGTTTGTATATGTGTGTTTCTCCAACGATGACAATGAAGACGCCGTGGAGGTTAATGCGTAGTACTTTCTCGTGAAAGTGATTGAAGGGACCGAGAAGACTGAATGGTACTGGAAGTGCCGTCATGATAATGAAATTTGACTATGAGGCATTTGCCAGCGGAAATGTCTGGTCCTTAGTGTTTCCATCTCTACAAGGTCAATGCTGCCTTGAGGTCTTGCATATGAATGTGAATAGATAGTTAAATAATCATAGTTGAAAGGGATTCGGATCTAGGAGTACACAATGGCCTCGCAAATGGCAACGAAGAGAACACTTGGGGCGTATTTAAATGCAGTTATCGGTTGCAAGGCATAGAATTTGGGTCTGAATTCAAGACTGAGTAGCTCGTATGGTTACAACTTCCAGGCAACTGCGGATAACTGCGGGGCAGTGGCACATCACGTGCGAATCTGCATACGTCATTCTCGTCTTGCGCAACAGTTGTCGAACTTCAAGGAACGGCTCAGCCTCTCAGGAACTTTACCAGTATAACAGGCATCAACCGATTTCTCCAAATTCCCCAGTCCTCCACCTATCCACTGCCAGTCCCCAAAATGACATCTAATCACCACGACGACAACCCTTGGGGCGACCAACAAAGTCAGCAGCAAGGCCATAGCTACCAAAACAACCAAAACCACAACCCGTACCAAACCTACCAAGATCAGCCCCGTGACCCATACGTCCAGGTACCCTTCCAGACCCAACCTCAAGAAAATTCACCCTGGAGTCAAGAACCAGGCCATCCGCAACCTCAATCCCACAACCCCTTCGACCAGCCTCACCAGCAACGCTCCCCACAACAATCTTACCAACAACAACCCCAAGCATCTTACCCGCACCAGCAACCTCCTCAGCTCCAGTCATCCGATCCAGATACTCCACCAGGCCTCCCGCCCCGACGCACAGCAACCGAGATGGCACTACCTACGGGCCAAGATCGCTCGCATCAAATTGAAGTCATGCAGAGCTATGAGGCGGCGGGGCGGAGAGATGAGGACGATGCGAATGTTGAGATTCTACAGCGCGAGTTTCCGAAGATAGACGGGAGTTTGATTGCGGCGATTTATGGCGATAGTAAGAGTTTGAGTGCAACGAGGGAGATGTTGCAGGCGCTTGAGTGAAGTTGAGGAGGGGGGTTTCGGTGCTGTCATCCTCTTGTCGGTTATGGAGGAAAGTGGAGGATATTACATCCTGCCCTGCACAGGTATTAATGTGCCATGCATGAATTCTACATTGTTTATTTTATTGTTAGTAGGACTGCTTCTTGTGCTTCGAGTGAACAGTCTGTGTCTATCAACGCATAAGCTTATTAGTAGCTTTAGAAGCAAGCTGGAACACGCAGAGTGGGTCTCGTAGCATTATCGATTTCTTTAAATTCAAGAGGATGCTGTATACAGTGTTGATCCGTAGGCGTAATTTCAAGGTGTATGAGATAAGAAATGAAAATTTCTAGGAAAGAATCATTGCTGGAAATCACCGTAGAAAACTTTACGATGTCTTGGACACAAAGCTAGGGCGAACTAGACAGAAGGGATATTCGAAACTCAAGAGAAAGATGATAATGCCCTATTGAACAAGACGTATAGTACATAATCATCATTCTACTTATGCACTCATCAAGACTTCATGAACGAAAGTCAGCCTAGCCCTCCGACCTCACAACCCCAATATTACTCCTGATATCAAACTCCACCCACCTCGCCCGGCCCTCTCTCTTCCCCCGTCCCCCACTCCCATCGATACTCCCGGGGTTCATGACAGTGCAGCCAAAATACTTGACCACGAAAGGTGGGGCCTCTGAATCCGCCAACACCAAGCTCGTCGGCAGTGGATACAGATTCAGAGTATGCGCAAAGTCCCAGTGCAATGGGCGAGCAGATAGCGGGAATGGAGAAAGGTGTGATTGCGAGAGGATGGTCCGGGTTAGGGCGCGGGCGACCTGGGTGTCGGCATCGATTTCACTGTTGGGTTTCTTGTGGACGGGTGGTAGGACAAGGCCACCGTCGAGATCCATGGGGTCTTGGAGATCTACGGCGGAGGGTTGGGCAGATGGTGCGAATGGCATTGAGTCGTCGACTTCTGGTTCAGGCTTGGGGAAGCGAATGCTATTCCTCTGAAGCCGGCCAACGATATCATCCCGTAGAATGGCCATTTCACCTTTGACGCCAAACCAGCTTAGTCGGGAAGGGTTGCTTGTCCATATCACTTCGCCTTCTTTCCCTTTTGCCTTGCCTGGGCCCCAGACTTCGCGATTTGCTTCGGCTACGACACGGCGGATGCGGTTTGTGAAGAGATGTGGGACTTGCTTGCGTGGGAGGGGTGTTGCGGCGCCGGCAGAGAAAGCGCTGGGCCAGGCGTCGTTATCTCCAGGGACGAAAATGAGGGTAGTGTGAGCGATAAGTTGTTGAAAGTCGGTTAAGACAGAGGCCAGAGCGTCGAAGTGCTCCTTGTACTCAATGCTGCCAGCGCCCGGTACGCCTGCTAAACTTGCTTTGGAACTGAAGTTGCCCATCAAGATGATAGCATGAGGATACACGGGCTGAACGTCTGTTGGGTCGGGAGTGTATGTGCGCAAGAGTGTCCGTAGCGCTGAGAGTGTTGACGGTATATCAAGATGTAGGTCTGATGCCATCACGATGTGATGTGACTGTTCGGCATTAAGTAGCTTCGAAGCGATTTTATTCATGCGAGAACCGGTCGCACGCTGCGAACCAACGCCAAGGAAATCCGTCCCGCCAAAAGCTGGACCTGCCAGACTGTTTTTGTCCACCTCTTCTACACCACCGAATGTCGCTGTTCGCCTTTCACAAGGTGGATGGCCGACAGAGAAGCCGAGGAACTTACCACCAATGGTCCCCCCAATACCACCACTCCCACCGAGCGTTGATCCAGTACCAGCGTCTTCCTCATAGCTGCCCTCTACGAGCACGATCATGCCAGGAGCGAAGTAGGCTCCATTCTCGGGAATTGGCCTTGCGTGCTGGATGTCCAGTGCAATCGTTCCAGTGAGATCAGATAAAGAAAGTTGCCCAGTGGCTGAAACAGTCAGCATCCCCAAGAGCAGATGGGTGGTTCCAGTTCGACCAAGTAAATTTGCAACTGGCGTGATTGTGTTCATTTGTGATGTTGCAGCCGATCCAGTTCGACTCAACGTTGCTGATCGAGCAGTGGAGAATGTGGGAGCTTGAAATGTCTCATTGCGAAGTATGCGCTGATGTACTATGTGATATCGTTGGCGGAAGAGCTCAGTCTTGTGTGAAGGGTCTGGGAAAAGGGATGGTTTTGAGGCAGATCTTGGTCTATTAGCATGTGTGACGGGATTTCGGAAAAGTACATACTTTTCGAAATGCTTCTGAGTGACATTGTAGATCAATTTCGGTTGCTCAAAGGCCCCGATAACCTTCATCCACTCTCGTGTATCCTTCAGTAGATCTTCCTCTTCCTCTTCATCTTCCACTTCAAGACTTGACATCCCAAAACTGTTGTTGCTGTCCAGTGCTGGTCGCGATGCAAGTCCGTTCATCTCAGACCCGAAGTTGAAGCTACTTTGTCGGCCCACGACTGAACCATGAACCACTTTTCCACCCAGCATGGAACCTTCCAATGTCTTTAATATTCCTTTGAGAATCTCACTGTCCCCCTCGACAATCACTTGGCCGCCACATTTCTTCCAACTCTTTGCTATTTCCTCGAGCACCTTCTCCGCTAGACCTTCTTCCCGCCATCCTGAGCCACAATGCTTCCCTATGAACGTGGCAAAAGCCTGCAGAGCAGACGAGGTGAGAGTCAAATTATACTTCTTAGTAAAGGTACGAAAAGCAAGCGGACGTAGGGTCGCTGGAGGAAGTAATATAGGTAGAACGGTAGACTTTGTAGGTGGTTTGAGAGCTGGGGGAGCGCGGATGGGTGCTGTTCTGCGGGGGTTGATGGGATGAGCAGGTGTGCCAAAGGCGGGCGATGAAGAGGGAATGGGATTCGATGGGACCGCAGAAGGCTTTTCTGGTCGTCTTGCTGTTGCCATTGCTGATTTGAGCTGTTTATACTGGCGTTGAGACAGTTTGTCACTCTGGTATGCATATGCACTTTACGGCGCGTTGACGCGGTACACGATATCGCGGTGGTCCGAGCACCGCCGCTACTTTTCCCGCAACTCGCGCAACACTGCAACTACCACCACCCACGTCCAAGGCACGTTCGAATAACTTCACCGAAACCACATATTCTGGAATCGCTGCACAGTTCCTTGATCGAATCGCTACAAGGATGTCGGGAGCGAACATCCAACCGTTAAGCACCGTCGCTGAAAGCGAGGACATACCACGAACGAAGGAGAAGCTGGAGGAGCTCTCTAAAGCTGGTTCCATTCACTACTCCACCAAGAACTTTGCGGCTGCTGCTGAGAACTACGCCAATGCTGTCGAGATCCAAGCGGAGCTGAATGGCGAGATGGCGCCCGAAAACGCAGAGCTACTTTTCTATTATGGACGCGCACTCTACAAAGTCGCAGTCGCCAAAAGCGACGTACTAGGCAACAAGGTCGCACAAGAAGAGAAGAAGAACCCAAAGTCCAAAAAGGCCAAGAAAGCAGCCAATGGAGAAGGTTCGAGCAGAGTTATTGCTGAGCAAAAGGAAGAGTCTGTGGAGACGAAGCCATATTTTCAGCTGCAAGGAGACGAGAACTGGACGGACTCGGAAGAGGAAGACATGGAAGAAGCAGATGGTGAGCAGGAAGAAGAGGAGGATGACTTTGGGAATGCATACGAAGTCTTTGAGCTGTCTCGCGTGCTCTACTCGAGACAATTGGAAGCTTTGGAAGGTGACGCTGCGGATAAGGGCAAGGGGAAGGCGGAATTGAGCCCACAAGCGCGCAAGCTCAAGGAAAGGATAGCTGATTGCCATGGCTTCCTTGTCGAAATCTCATTAGAGAATGAACGTTTCCATGATGCCATCTCAGACGCACGTGCTTCTCTTGCACTACAAGAAGAACTGTATCCCTTCGAACACGAGAATGTCACAGAGGCGCACTACTCGCTATCGCTGGCACTCGAATTCGCGTCCGTCTCGAAAGTACGCGAAGATCAGACTGGCAAACAACCCGAAATCCCAGACACCTCGCAGCCACCTGAAGATGACAAAGACGGCATAAATTGGGAGCTGAGAAAAGAAGCGGCCGAGCAGACGGAGCTCGCCGTAAAGAGCCTTGAAGCACGGTTGAAGAAAGAAGAAGCAGCCTTGGATTCTGATAAACTCACGCCCGAGCAGAAGAAAGAGAAGCAGGCTATCATTGAAGACAAGAAAGGCATGTTGGAGGACCTCAAGGCACGCCACATGGATCTACAGTCAGATCCTACCAAGCAGGAATTCGATAGCATAGATCCTTCTGTCATGCAAGGTCTTCTCGGCGGCTTACTGGGTGCCGATGCTGCTACACAAAAGGCAAAGATTGCAGAGGCGACCAAGTCAGCGAATGATGTGACAGGTTTGGTAAAAACTAAGAAAAAGGCAAAAGCACCTGCACCACCAGCTTCGAATTCCGCAGCGGGAAGCAGTGGCAAGAGGAAGTTGGAAGTTGATGAAGCTGGGCAAGAAGGGAAGAGATCCAAGACTGAGGAGCCTGCATGATTACGAGTCTTTGACGGCCGTTACTTGAAAATTATTTCCAATGTTGTACTGGATGCTCTGGTCTGGCGAGGCCCGATTTTCATCTGCTTTTCTCTTCTCCCGGGGAAAGGGATAGGGACGATAGCATAATGATTCATCAAATTTCGATGCAAGATCGGCTGCTGCCGTTGTCCAACCCACCACGTTCTCCATACACCGACATCTTAATGTGACCATGTGGCATTTTAAACACGATTCTCTCGCCAAGATCGTGTTCAAGATGATCGGAACTCGTGTGCCGCCCTCATCTCTGTCTCTACGAGGCAATTTCCAACCAGGCTCACTGTCTGTTTGTGGTCGCAAATCAGTACGAGTATTAGGCTTGTAGTAGCGTACCATGCAATTTGGCAGATTGCCAGCAGGTATCTCTTCCTGGCCGGCTCACGTGCAAGTCTGGACATCGGTATTGAGTAAAACAGCCTGTGGAGTGACGATTTACCTAAGTTCGAAGATATAACAACGTATATTTACTCGTCCCCCTGATTTATGTAGCAAAAGCTATGGGGCTGTCAAGGGCGGGGGGAAATACGGTAGTTCGTATGGTCTGCATAAGCAGACACTCCCGATGAATATGACAATCCAACACTGAATTGTCATTGCGATGCATTCACGCGGCTGATTTATAAAAATTCACTGAATTGGTGCTATATGCGTTGCGATGGAAGACAGTTCAATGTTGAAGAAAAACCCTTTAATTGACTACGAACAGGGCACACAAAGCACAAGCAAATCCACAAACAACAGGAAAGCAGCATTCATAACAGCATCCTCTCAAGCACTACGAGCCACCACACTAGCCCTCGCCACCTCCTGCCTCGCCACCCCAACCTTATCCTCCAAATCCGGCAATGAAAACCTCGGCCTGCGATAGGTATATCCAACAAACGCGCCCTTCTTCCTGAGCTCCAACACGGCCCGTCCCACCTGCGGATCACGCAACAACTTATCCCTCGGCCTCTTCTTCTCCTTCTTCCGGCGGCGAATCTTCTGGAAGCCTTTGTAGACTTGCTCGTACGCTGGGATGGGCACCTGGCTCTTTGCAAGCGCAGACTCGGGTGTTGGTGTTTGTGCTTCGTCGCCCAGGATATCAGCGACGCATACGGTGGGTATGCCGTCAAAGTCTGCGACTTCGTAGCTGGAGGAGTCAAGGTGGTCGGATGCGCTCATGATCTCGGCTTCGTCGTCAAAGTACTTTGTAATGGGCTGGCCGCCGTGGACGCGTGGGACAAAGGGAGGTCGGGTCATGTGCAGCGTGGACCACTGGATGTTGCGGAAGAAGGGGTGGGCTTTGATGTCTTCGGCGTCGTTGGGGAATACGATACGGCCTGTGGTGTTGAGGTTGCGGGTACGGCGGGCACCGACTGATTTGTCGCGGAGGATCCAGTCGTTCTCACGGTAGCGTTTGGCTGAGAGGCGGTCTTGTCGTTCTTCTAGGAGGCGCATCATGAGGTCCATGGCGTTGCGGGTGACGGCCATGAGAGGTACTCGATCAATATTTGGGCGGGCGTATCGCTGGTCTGGAGGGAAACGAAGCCAGCGTCGATGATCCTAGTTTGCATCAATACAAGTTTTATTTCAGGCCCGGACAACTCACAAGTATACGTGCCTTGGTCGCCTGGCGGTTCTCGCAGAAGAAGGGAGTGCAGCCGTAGAGGCACTATGTGATTGTCAGATGGCCGAAATCAGCATGCATGCCTCAAACGTACCTCATAGAGTATGATGCCAATACTCCACCAGTCGCACCTACCATCGTAGTTTTCGCCGCGAACAACCTCTGGAGCCATGTACTGGCTAGTACCAACCACACTCTTGGCGAATTGACGCCTCTGAGTGCGGTTCAGCCAATCGATAATGGGCCCATTAGCAATGTCCTGTCTTGTGTCATGGCCACGTCCAGACTGGCCACCGTTGATCAGATCAAAGGTGTAATAAGCATCTTGGTGAACCTTTTCTTCCTCGATATCCTGGGCGTCACCTTGGACATGCAAGTCCAAGTCACGAATGAGACCATACCGCTGCTCGTTGTAGTATGTCTGATTATGAGTCCAGTGCCCATCAAACGCGAGGCCAAAGTCAGAGATTTTGAGATGGCCAGACGCCGTAATGAGGAAGTTGTCGGGTTTGACGTCGCGGTGAATCCAATTCATCCGATGGGCTTCCTCGATGCAAAGAATCATCTCAGCGAGGTACCATTTCGCCACGTTCTCGTCCAGAATATCCTCGCGCAGAAGCAGGCCGAGAAAGTCGCCGCCCATCATGTATTCCATGACCAGGTATAAATTGTTGTTGTCCTGGAAGGCAGATACCAGTGGTACTACCCATCTCGAGTTCTCAGATGCAACGAGAAAGTCGCGCTCTGCACGCAAGTGGCCTTCTTGGCTGTTTCTCAGCATATCTGATTTTCGGATGACCTTCATGGCAAATACTTGCTTTACCTTGCGGATCGGTGATATGGGCTGGCCCTCCGCGTCTGCGACCTTGTCGATAGGTGTGAGCAGACTGTTGTCACCCCTGAGATTGCCACTGTGCTCGCTTTTCTCCCGCACAAGACGAACAACGCCAAAACTACCCTTGCCCAGAACACGAACAATGTCGTAGTTGGAGACGTGCACGCCCTTCATTGTCTGTCTCGCGAGCGTGTTCGACTTCATGACACGTGTCTGACGAAGATGGTAGCTCTCAGAGAGATACTATTCTCGCCTCATCTGATGACGTTGCTCGTTGGCAATGGTCATGGCGAAAAGCTTGCGCTCCATTTTTCGGAGACGCAGAGACCGTGGCGATGCCTTGGGCGTCAGCAGCTGGTCAAAGTGTGATTCAAAGAAGGCCTTCGCGGCAGCGGCATTTTCGATGGTGGCAACGGATGGCTCGGAGAGACGGGGAGCGTCTTGACGGGGAAAGACTAGAAATGGAGAAAGCAATGGGTCGGGACCTGATTCGCAAATGGGAGGAGAGCCGCCAGTAGAAATCTTTCGATTGGCGTTCTGACCCCGCTGTGTGGTTTCGGCGGACATTGGCCCCGTTGATGAAACGAATGAAGTCGGCGCAGTGGACAGGCTCAGCAATGCATTGCTTGTACTGATGACACTGGATGGTAGAGATGAAATTTCTGTCATCGCTAGTCGTGGTGATTTTGCGGTGGAGTGAGTACTAGGGTGTTGATTGAACGCCGCCGTCTGGATAGTAGGTCTTGAAATCAGCTTCGGTCTATGAATGACAGTGTCATTGTGGAGAAGGACCGCCGAGATCTTGGACGTCAGCTGGCTAGATAGACCTGGTGTCGATCTGCTTGTGTGTAGAGCAAGAAGATGCAAAGGACGCTCAGAAGGGACCGGTTCTGATTCGCCATCAAGTGCTGTGGCTTTTGAAAAGTGCAGGAGGGAGGAACTTCGTCGATGTAGGGTCAGTGTAGGTAGAGTTCTAGGATTGTCGGGAGAACTAGAGCTTCGTAGTAGTGAATGCTTTACATAGGTATTGTTGTCGTCCGCACGGCGAGTACTGTCGGTTGCATCGGAAGTTGCACCTTCGCCTGAAGTGGTCGCTTGCTCCCCACTGCCTGGGGTAGGTGTGGAGCCTGACATGAAGATTAGCGTTTGGATCACTTGTAGAATATAAAGGCCTCGCTATCCATACTCTTGCCATTGCGAAATATGGAGAAGATCCTGATGCTTCCCCTTCGAAGATTCGTCAGAGTCCGGCTCGCTGGAGTGCCATTCCGACTGTGAGATGGCTTGGCACCATCTGCAGAGCGCTCCACGACGCGTATCTTACCCTTGTCCCGGGAAGTTAGTAATGGATTATGGATGTCTTTTCTTTTTCGAGCTGGAACTAGAGACATCATCTCAGAGACGGGCGGAAAGTCGATGATGGGCAGGTATTGCCGCTGGAAAAGATAACAATATTCGCACCCCGTTCACAACCGAGTGTTGTCGGTGAAGGAAGGTTGTCTGATCATGGCACAATATTTGCGAAGCCCTCACCCGGAGACATCATGGAAAGACCCATCGTGAACAGGGGGGCAAGAGTGTAGGCTGAGCAGCAGGCATGAGTTTAGTACAAGAAGCACCTTCTTCCTACTCTTCGAGGTAAGTGAGGTCAAGGTAAGTGAAGATGCAGAGAATCATGTCTGACGCGATGATGCAACCAACAAACCATGTCTGTTTTGATATCAAGATCCGTCTTCTGTCTTCTTGGGTCGTGATGGTAGGAATTTGGGACTTTGCCATCCAACACGGCAATATCTTGCCGATGAAGTTGATGTCAGTAAGTGAACATTCTGACTCTGGGAATAACAGGGAAGGGCGTCAAACAATCACAGTCTTCGGAATGACACCGGCGAGCGCCAGCACACCTCGTGATGCGATCGATCGCTGAGTTTCGAGACACCGCATGATCCAGCCCTTTCACCAATGAGGTTGCAAGACGTGGACGGCTAATGGCACGCATATCCTTCCATGTAACTTACAATAACTGCAGCGTAAGCCTTCTCTGTCCTTTGAGACTACACTCACAAGTGACTACATTCACACCGCATATAAGAGAGAGTCATTCTTCCGGCTGCTGCTGTTGTTGTTCTTGTTGTTCTTGTTGTTGCTGTTGTTGCTGTTGTTGCTGTTGTTGCTGTTGTTGCTGTTGTTGCTGTTGTTGCTGTTGTTGCTGTTGTTGCTGTTGTTGCTGTTGTTGCTGTTGTTGCTGTTGTTGCTGTTGTTGCTGTTGTTGCTGTTGTTGTTGTTGTTCACTTGTCAGACGTCCTTTCACGGCGCCCCCGCATTGCACCCCCGGCTGTGGCGTTCCTGTTCGCCTTATCCGTTATCGGGATCGCGCGACATCATAGCGTTGTCCATCTCACGTCACCTGCTCCTCTCCTCGGACCTCAACCACCTCGTCGTTGTTCAACGGAGGTTGGGCGTCCCCACGGCGTACGCGCTCGAGTCGCGAAAGAGACCGAGGATTGTCTCTGGTAACTACTCTTTGTGGATTCTTGGCTCATGGTTTGGCCCTTGACCTCTTGACAACACTCGCAGCCTGGTGTCTGCACCAACACTGGGAACTAGGTAAACTTCATTCCGGAAACGGGCATCTACCAGCGACTTTGTCACGTCACGGGGCTTGTTGCCATGCGAACGACGCAACTGGACTAAGGCTGCATACTCTTGAACGTGATTTCCGGTAATACTTTGGCAGACCAACGGAGGCGACTACCTCACCTGACCATCTCATCTGAACTCATAATTTTGCAAGCACGTTGACGCCTGGCTTGCATCGACCCCAGCGAACTGTTGGTGATACTCTACTGAACCACAGAGCGATCTATATTTTACCTTGACAAGAATACTTGGTGCTTCAAAGCCTGTACAGGAAGATCGGAAACCATGCCCAACGTTCCCACGACGCCCTTCCCCCTATATCTCCTTCCCAGCAATCCATTCCGACGGCGACGAAGTTCCGCTTACTCAACTTCTACCGCTTCAACTGGATCCCCATCTTCTTCACCGCCACAACCTACCTCATTTCTCTCCCGTAATCCGACGTCGCACCTTCGCTGCTACAAGTGTCTCTCTGATCTCGTGCCGGTGTCGGCGATCATCAGCAAGGGCTTCACTGGCCGACATGGCAAAGCTTATCTTGTCGCGCCGCCATCATCTGCCAATGTGCTGAGCGGGGGAGATACTCCCATCGATTGGAAAAAGGATGACCTGCCAAACACACTCACACACAAGGCTGTACCCCGACAACTAGTGACCGGCGCTCATACCGTCTCTGATATCAGCTGTCGCAGCTGCGGCTGCGTCCTGGGTTGGAAGTATGTCGATGCTGTGGAAGAAGCACAGAAGTACAAGATTGGCAAGTTCATTCTCGAGACGAAGCGAGTGGTGAAAAGCACGGGCTGGGAAGACACGGGGATCGATGAGGATGGTGGCCTGGAAGTCAAGGACGACGATATAGAGTTCGACTCGCAGGACGAGGACGAATGCGAAGATTTATTCAGCGGCATCTGGACCCCGAAATTGGCCAAGAGCAGGCGCAAGAATCGCGTCTTCAGTCGTAGTGGCTAGCCCACTCTCGGGCATCAAACCACATGTTATACGCACCCGTTTTTTGGTGCGAGACACTCTTTTTCTACTGGGATCGGTGTTTCTGGGACGGTTTTGGACGGACGGCATCGGTGCATGTTATCCAACTCAGACGCTTTACGAACTCGATTTATTATAGATACCCCCCTCCCTACGTTTTTCCTTATACTCAAATACGAAACCACCACCATCTCCAACCCATCCCATATCCCATAGTAAAACATCTAATAACAAAACTTAACTTCACTCTCCTTCATACACATCCTATATCTCCCCTCCCTTTTCCACCGCCCTCGGACAGTCTTCCCCGCCTCTCCCAACCAGCCTCCTCAAGCTCCAGGACTCATATCCCCCGCCCGCCGTACCATCGGCCACTCATTCCGACGAGCCCTCTTTTTCCGCTGACGCATCTTATACCACACTGCATAGCAGATACAGCCTGCTATAATCAGGACTAGCAAGCCCAGTACCGCACCAAGGACGACGCCGAATTCAGTTTGCGGAGAGGGCGGTGTGCTTGTGTGTGGTGTGGATGCAGAGGGTGTGGGCATGGGCATGGGCGCGAGGGGGGGAGGGATCATGGGTGAAATGGTGTAATACTGTTGCTGAAGAAGATTGATTGTGGAAAATCCACGGCCCTTGGATGGTTTGGGAGTGCTTTCTGCGGGAAATGTGGAGTGCTTGGTTTAGATGGCGGGAAAAATATTGCTATCTACCATGGTAAGTAAGTAGATTCTGTCTGAATCCCAGTTTGGACCTGCATCATCGTATCATCCATCCACTTGACATCTCACCCCCAGCTAGCCAACGCCGTGACTGTGAACCAGACTTGCTATGGACACACATATCCACTGGACTGTAACCTGAGCGTTGGAATCGGTACTGCAGTTTGTTTGACTCGCAGGCTGAGATGAAAACTGTGTATTAGACGCTAGGTAGGCTGGATGCACTGCGGTTGTCAGCAGGTCAAGCGACGTGCTCTGACCCATGTCAAATACAATGCGAACGACTCATTGCAGTACCGCACGGGAGGGGAGGAGATGCTTACTTGCTCACTCGTTACAAACAGTACCTGACCCAGCCGCTTACCATCAAAATCCAATCTACTCGCATGCCCAAACATCAATACACCTACACACCTCCACCTCCACCTCCACACCCAGCCACAAACCCACAAAGCCTACACTGTACCTACATATACCAACCGCCCCCCCCCATGACCTATCGCCATATCTGCCCCTTGAAGCTGTAAACACTCCGCCGGAACAAGTAAACCCGCACTCGATTCGCAGTCATACAAGACTCATTCTCCATTAGCATACCGTATGCAACACGCGCTTTGCGCACGGGTACGGGTATGGTATTTTGCGAGATGGGAGTAAAGGATATTGGCCACGCTGGGCGGTTCAAGTGCAACGTCATGGCTAGAGCGTAGCAAAAGGTAGGTAGACAGGTAGATAAAACGCAGGTGATTGACAAGCGCAAGCCCATCGTTTGTACGGGTATAGGTAGCATCTTGAGACGCAAACGACACACGGCAACAGGACAGCGGTACCGGTACCGTACGGCCAAGTCCGAGATTTTGCGCAGCGCGTAACTTGACACGACACGACACGACACGACACGACACCAACCATCTGGTGCACCAGACTCCAAACTCTTTCGGCAGGAGGAAGTTTTTTCAAATTAGGCAAACGCGTTTTAGCTCGACGCCTTCACGTGGCTTTACACTATGACACTGCTTGTCTATCTACACTATACTTGCCCTAACACTAACCTAACCTAACCTAACCCTAACCTCAACCCTAACCTCAACCCTAACCCAACCCTAACCTCAACCTACCAATCCCCACCCAACCCAACCCAAGCCCTAACCCCACGCCCCCTTCGCCCCTCTAAATCAACCCCCCCGCGCGCCGCGGGCACCCGGGGCCC